TTTCTTGATAAATTCATGTCTACACAGCACTTTATTTGTTTCCCACATTTGACTTTAATCTTCCAGTATGGAGACTTGAATTGTGCAAGATGCTTGGGAACTTGTCTGTTCAGGTCACATCCTGTGTATCACGCTGACTCACATCAGAAGAGTACATAGACCTTTGCTAATTGAATCAAGCATTTTAAAGACGAAGAACAAACCGACGGTTCATAATCTAACAGATTGTGATTTTTAAATAGATACACTGATATTTAAAAAAAGAGTCAGAGTCAACATTTACAGGGTTAAGGTTAATTAAACTCTGATTCCCAGTTCCAGGTCAGCTGCTAACCCCCTAACCCCCTATGATGGTGATGATGATGATGATGAAGATGATGATGATGGTGATGATGATGATGAAGGACCATGAATGAGACAGTGTATAAATCAAACAGATGCAGTGTCAGCTCCTATAATAAAAAAGATCTGCAACTGAGATCAACGTCATCTGCACAACACACTTGTGGAAACATGCATGTGTGTGTGTGGATGTGTGTGCATGTGTGAGTGTGCATGTGTGTGCATGTGTGAGTGTGTGTAGAAATCGTGGAAAGGTGGGGCGCTTGTCACGAGCCCGGATTTCGAAGTTGGTGGAGAGGAAGGGGGGAAGGGGGCTGCTGCGGCGGAGGGGTACAAGCTGCACACCCGACCTCTCTGACAGGTCTGAAGCTGGGAATCAAACCCTCACACACGGACTGTTTCTCAGCGAGTTCACCGCTTACAACCAGCCAGCTCTTTATTATTTGTTGCCGCAGCCCCGTGTGTCCTCGGAGGTGGAAGCTGGTGGTCGCGGCGCGCGGGCTCTCGGCACTAGTTGGGAGTGGACTAGTTTTCTTGGCGGAGGCGCGGAGTTGTTTTGCTCCAGGACTGGTGTAGGGGGGCTGCTGAATGGGAGCAGTCGCCGGATTCGTGTGGTATCAACGCAGGCTGCCGCGACCACCCACCACTGCCCATCACCGTTGACTTCAGGGGACGTGTCGGGGCACAAACAGAACAAGACCACCACCACCAGTTCCTCCTGTCGTCCCCCCTTTCCCCTCTCCTTCCTCACGGATCCTCCAGACTGACGAAGCCTCCAGACATGGCTCAGATTCTGCCGATCCGCTTCCAGGAGCATCTGCAGGTAACCACGGATTCAAACTCAAAAAAAAAAAACATGTGGCATTTTCACATCAGCTCATTTCACGTCCAAGCTGCACCATGATCGCAGCCGGCACATGTCGCATTTACCCGGGCTGTGGAGCACTCCTGCTGCAGGGAGGTGCTCGATATAGCCACAGGCCTAGTTCTGCTCCTGCCGGGCAGATGATGACTTGTAAAAATTGAGATGGTACAACAGCTCCACTGCGGACTGTATGTGTGTGTGTCTGTGTGTGTGTGTCTCTCTCTGTGTGTGTCTCTCTGTGTGTGTGTGTGTGTGTGTGTGTAGAGGGGAGGGGGGGATATGCTGCAGTTTTCATGTCATTTTCCATCCGCGCCGGTGCAAACTGCGGCGTTTTGACACTTGAAGCTGCGGAGCTCAGCTGTTCACTGGTCTCAGTCCAACACACTGGAGCTGTAACATGTAGGTGTCATGTCCTGCAGCAACATGTCCTCACGACAACAACACGTCTGCAAATGAGCTCATAGAATACCTGCTTTCGACGTGATCCATTCAGGGACGATGTGTGACAGGAAGTGGAAACATTTGATCACTGACAACAGTTCCATAAGTTCAGGAAACTGCACCACTGCAACATCATCTGTATTTATGTATGAAGTTGGTGACATACAGGACGTTTATTTTGCCATCCACACACACGTTCATTCATACAGTGCATCTATATGTGCAGCACTTTCTCTGTCACACATCCGTCAAACACCCATCAGGGGAAATTGCTGGGTTCAGTGTCTTGCCCAAGGACACTTAAACAACTGGGATCAAACTGCAGACCCTCTTGTCAGTTGATGACCCTCAGCCACCAAACCCTCTCGTTGAATCTAGATATATACTGTACGTGCATCAATGTGTTTGTGAGTCTGTGTGTGTTCTAGCTCTGCTTATTGGTATTTTCACACCAGAGCAACATCTGTGCAGCCTCAAAACGATCAACATCGTCATGAGTGGCCCTGTTCGTAGTGTCTTTAGTACATAAAGCAACACAAAATGTCCTTTACACTCTGTGGGAAAACCAGCAAACAAGCAGCCATTTATTTAGTCATCTGTGGTCAAACTATTTCCACTATGTTCCTGTTTTCCTCTGCTGGTTTGTACTCTGATAGTCGTTGTCCCACAGCAGCCCCAGTCCCCAGTGCTCGGTGTCTTGCAGCCAGAAGAGAAACTTTGTGACGCACCCCTCCGCCTCCCTTGGTCTGTAGCCTGTTGTTATGGTAACAGCAGGCAGTGAAATGGCCTTTCACTGAGAAAAAAAAAATGCACAGAGCCCCCACCCCCTCTCTGTGCTCCCTTCCTCTGGCCAGTGCCCCCACTTTCGTCAGCCAAAGACCCTTTATTCACCAAAAAAAACTGTGCTGGCCGAGAGACTCTGCAGGCCACCAGGCCTCTCTCCTCACTGACAGGACTCATGTTGTATTGCTCGCTGATGGAGGCTAGTGCGATACCTGGAACTGTCTGGGTTATTGGTTTGAATTGCTTTCTACAGTGCATACCTCTCCCTCATACATCTCTTTAGAAAAACCTCTCTGCCTTGAGACAGTGATAAGCAGCAGACCGCTTTACGTTCCTCCTCCACCGTGAAATCCCAGCTCTGCCCCGATCGTATCCCCCCGTGAATCTAGGTGGCTCCAGCAGAGTGAAAAATGCTTGGAATTTGCAAACCCAGGACTTTGGGCCTCAAGTTGTTTAGCTTCTTTTCTTTATTGGCCTGGTATTTACAGCTCAGTGTCTGTAGAGTGGGCCTGGTTTCAGGGATGTAACATGGACTCTAGCTGCCCAGTGAGGCACCAGCCTGTTGAACCACAAACCGGTTCTTTAACACTACTCTTGTGTTTGATAACGATGTGGAGGATGAGGCCTGGACACAACTACTGTTCTAAATGTGAGAGATTCAGTAGTGTTCATTTTTACACCTTATTCTTGTAGTTATGGATTGCCTGCCTAGCTCACACAGTCATTAACCTTGTGGTAAACTAGCTCCGATGCTACTCTGAAGTCTTCCTTGCTTTGCTTATTTACTATATGGTTTTTCAGACATGCGCTGAAGGCCTGGGTAATCTCTTGAAATAATCCAGAGCGGCTGAATATGATGAGAATGCAAATCTCTACATTTGAAGCTGCGGACATTCATCCGGAGCTCTTCCTGCCAGCCCCCTAGTGAAGACTCTGGATAATGTCAGTGAGCCCATGTGAGAATACAGCAGGATAGTATCTGGACCCATGAGTGAGAGGGCATGTTGATGACGTTTCAAACACACGATGGACCCAATACCGAATTGTTGAGGAATTTTCGTATATACTCACACATTACTGTATATGCCACTATAAATATGTATTATGTTTATAAGATATATTACATTATATCTGTACACCATTAAGAGAAGAGTGCCTGACTAATTCCACTGATTCTCTCTTCTCTCTCTAAGCAGTACCCAAGGGCAGGTTATAGATAAAGGACCAACCAACAGTGCATTGTAGTGTCTACACTTAGAGACTTTCATATCTAACTCAGATTCCCCAGACAGAGAGGCACCAACTGCAACTCTCACCAACTTCAACTCTGTTGCATATTACTCAAGTGTAGGATGCAATATAATATATATAGGATGCAAACACCTACATGTTGCATAGAGAGTGACAGCAATCATAGCCATTCATTGACGTGCTGTTAAAATGGGTGATGCAAGTAGAGTAAGATATATGGGGATGCTGTGGGAGACATCTTCAGACTTGGGGGTGACACTTGCTCATGTCACTCTGTTAGTGTTCGTATATTGTTCCACCTTCTGGTCTCCTTGATGCATCAAGTCTACATTAAACTCTTCTGCATAAGACATCAGCTGCTGCCTGAGTCTTCCTTTCACCAGCTTGCAGAAAACTTCCATAACAAACTTCCATAACACGAATGAATAAACATCTCAGGGTGAGAGAGACGTGTCATATACATAGAAGACACGGACAAAGATATCAACTTTGAGATGCGATGATGCAGGCCGACGACAGTGTTAGCACACGATCTCTGCAGCTGAATTTATGCCTCTTACATGCCGCACCCCCCCCTCACCTGAATGCTCTGCAGATTTCTCTGTTGTTGTGAATCCGTCTGTGCGAACTTTCTTCGGACTTTGTGTGTGAAAACGGTTTATGATTGATGAGCCAGGTTCCAGGTTGTCGTGTCATAGGGTTAGGGTTAGTCGTTGTGTCATTAATTGACCCGAACTCTATTTAAGTTCAGGGAATTGTTTAAACAAGCACAGAGAACGGCAAGTTAAATAATAAACATGCTAAACTCATAGTCATTTGCAGCTCATGTGGGTCCTCTGCTAGCTGTCAGTGCAGCGGCCTACGTTCTCTAGCAGCTTGTGTAAGTGCAAAAATGTCCTGCAGCTTGGAGGCGCCTGAACATTGTCCTGTCGAGTTGAGTTAGGAGAGTCCAACCTGCTGCTCTGCGGCTGTTTGAGGCATCCTGGTGGGCTGCTGCATCCGAACTGATGAAGTGATGCCTCCATGTCAAAACCAACAGCTGTGAAAAACAGATGAGCTAAGCAGGCCCCATTTAAGCTCAGCAAATCCAATCAGTAGAGGAAGCAGGTTGACAGAAGACTCTATCTCAGTCTAGAAGAACACATCTGTGAGTGCAGTGGCTGATAGGGGACGGGTGTGTGCATGTGTGCTCAGTCACCAAAACTAAATCTTGAATGCTGTAAAGTAGCAGCTATTCACACATACAATATGAACGATAACACACTGTCAAAGCTGTAAGAATAGATAAGGGGCTGCAACACATTCGCAAAATTATTGTCTGTCACTTGTTCGTCCAAACCATAGACTGTATATAGACTGTCCAGAAATCAAGCCACATTATCCCAGATATGAGAACTGCCATCTTGCGCCAATGGGTGGTTTCACTGAGGACAGCTCTCATGAGCCATGCAAGTGAACCAAAACATTGAAGTTGTGAGGAATAAAAACAAAACAACCAGCTGAAAGAGTTTGAAATACCATTGGGAATAAGCCACATACACAAATTTAATTGATCAATTATAATATAAATAAGATTTTTTAAAATCACGTATATGATAAAAATCCTACCATTTGGTGAAAGAAGATACGAAAAAGTAACACCACGTCTTTTTGCTGCATTTGTCATTTTAAACCTTTTGTGTAATCTTCTTACAAACCCAAAACCCTCAGCTGCTGATGTGATGTGTCAGTGTCTGAGCAACGCATCCACCCAGTCTATGACTCACCAAATACCGTCAACGCTGTATCATCAGTGAAGTCTATCTGCTGCTGTTGTTATTGTGATATGAGTGCTGTGTTAGTTGGGAAGGATTCTAGGAATCTGTATGCACTACTAGAGGCAGTTAATGGGTCAGTGGAGACAGTAGATGCAGTTGAGGTGTGATTTTAGTCTGGAATGTTCTTCTAAGAAGGAGTGCTGAGGGGGGGTTGTCTTCTGGTGAGTCAGTCGCACCACCCTGAGTTGTAAATTGCAAAAGGCCCATGTTACTGGAACTGCACTGTGCAGGTCTCCCTCTCATCCGTCACTCTTCATTTCTAATAAAAAGTACATTTATCACTCTGGCTTCTCTACGTCACACCGGTTGTCTCCTAACAACCGCGCTCTCTGTGTTTTTATCAGGATGCTGGACTGTGTCTTGAGCTCCTCCTTTTCACTCCCATGCTTATCTTCTCCCTCACTATCTTTATTGTATTTCCCCTCCCAGCGATAGTTCTGGCAGTCAAAAGGAGATGCAACATATGGCTTCAGACCTCCCTCGGGTCTTCTCTGTGGCCTTGTCAAGAAGCCTTAATATTGCACGTCCCCATAACTGCACAGAAACCAACTGAACATATAGCTGTGGCTTAGAGATATGGTATTATATGATGTATATTGTTGTAATAAAACTAAGAGTAGCAAGTCTTCATATTTGAGAGCCCGGGAGCAGAGAGTGTTTTGGTGATTTTCTTTGAAAAATGACAGAAAATAAAAGTATGTTTTACTGTTATTTTGCAAAATAAACTCATCAAGTGTTAAACAGAGGAATAAAGAACGAAGTTTTTCCATTTTAATAGTATACGATCTAACTAGTTTGTTATTTTGGTAACATTTTAAAATTGAGAAATAATGCTGCCTTAATTGCTGCTGAAATTGGGTTAATGAAAGTGGAGTTTGGCCAGAAGCTCTGTGTCTTCAGGGTTGGGTGATAGTTCTCTGTGGGATGTTGCTGAAAGTGACTCTTCACATGCACATATAGATTTGATGCACTCAAATAAATAAAAAGCACTTTCTCAAAAGTGGCATCTCTTTTCCCTCTCTCTCTCTGTGTCCGCCCCAGGCTGCTGAGTTACTCCTTCCTGTTTTGTAGTTGACCTTATTGAAATGGCTCAGCTGTCATGATTTGTTGTCCTGCTCTACCAGCCAACTGTGAGATACTATAGTCCTTGTGATGAGCATAAGGATTCCTTTCCGCTTGCCTCAGACTGCATTATGCAGTCAGCTCAGTCACCGGAGGGAGAGAGAGCATGTTTTGGTCTGCCCTCTCACTTCATAGTTAGTTGGACAATGTGCACAATAATTCCTCTGTTTGGCAGCTGCGAACCGAGGTGGAGCGTTTCATGTTTGTTGGTTCTACTAAGATTTGACACAGGACAAATTGAACTCAGCTCATTCATTCAGAAAATAAATATGCTGAGTAATAAATCTGATTCACCTTTATTAAAGAAATTGGGATTTATACTTAGTTTCAGTGGATTTAGTGTTGTCTCCGACTGGTTGAGGCTGAATAACTGAGTGTTCATTTTCTAATGGCTGCTTGCAATTTAAAGGATTTAATCACAGGCTTAGCTTAAATAAAGTAATGCTGTTCTTTTTCAGTATAATGGAGATTTTATGATGGTTACCTTTACGGTGGCCCTGAGGGTCCAAACATTTTACTAAACACAACATTTCAGATTTGATCAAGGGGAGAACACTTGTTTGTGATTGGACAGAACCCAAGTCCCTGGCAACAGTTCAGTGCCTATTCCTGACGTTACTGTAAACTCATTTGTACCTGTCAGGATCCTGGAGGAATGACGGTTTCCACTGTTTTCCAATGATTTGATTGGTCAGTAGGTTTGTTTTTGGTCTGTTCCTCTGAACTTAACCTCCTCTATGTTTTGTTTTCCTAAATGATGTATTAAGTGAAATGTCATTTTGTAAAATGCTGTTTAGTTTTCTGTGTTTTTGACCGGGCCACAGTACTGTTGGCATTACGAGTAGAGCATATTTCTGAAAATGCTTCCGAAAATTCAGTAGGTTATTAGCAGCTCTAATAAAAGTGTAAAGTTCTGTTGGGTTAACATCCGGTCGTCTGCTGTGTGCCCACACTTGTTCCCCTGCTTAACGCAGCACCAGACCTCCTGTCTGGAAGACAACCTTTAAGAATTTCCCTGGAAAGTTGGAGCAGACCTGCGACTATTTTTATTAAAACACTGTTCTACTCTGCTACTTGCTGCTTTTTCCTCTTGCAAGGCAAATGTCAGCTGTTGCCATGTATGTTTTCCTATTGACTTCTTTTTGTTGAGATGGAGGCATGACTCCTTCAAAATCTGTCAAGCTTCTGGATTAGGAAACTGTCGGCACGCTGTCATGGAGAAGTCTTCTATGTTTTGTTCATTTAACATGTTTTTATTCAATATCAATTAAAACTGAGTCAAAAACTACCTACTGCCAATAACTATGGACAACTACACTAATAAACTCTCAAACATCTTTATTTTATGCATAATTGTAAATTATACTACATAAATTGCTAAAGAGTGTTAAAGCAAAGTTACCTGAGTTATCAAGATTCTCATTGTTACATTATTCATATTTACAGTTGCAGAACCTGGGCGTGAACCCAGCCAACATTGGCTTCAGCTATCTGACCATGGAGTCGGACAAGTTCATCTGCATCCGAGAGAAGGTGGGCGAGCAGAACCAGGTGGTGATCGTGGACATGTCCGACCCCACCAACCCAATCAGGAGACCAATTTCTGCCGACAGTGCCATCATGAACCCCGCCAGCAAGGTCATCGCCCTGAAAGGTAATGTATGAGATGTGCAGCAACACATTCAGACTGCCACACCTCTGGTTATTAGTAGAGAAATGCTGCGTAATTGTGAGGAAAAACAGTTTGCTGGTATTGCTAGTGGCCTTATGCCAACTGCTGAGCTTATTATTGTTGTCTCAGTTCCCAGAATAAAGTCTGCACTGTTTGTTTGTCTCTAATTTTAACAGATTTAACCATATACCATGTCTGCCATGGGAATACCACGGTCTTGCAATGACTAATGCTCTGTCAATGCCATAAATATGTAGGGTGCACTTAGTTCTATTGCCTGAATGTACTAAATTGGTTGTGTAAATTGATTTTCTGCCTCTGAATCTTGCCCTCGGAGCACAAACACAAGCGCTGATCAGGATGATTTGCCTTTAATGCTTCTCTCTCCTCCCCCTCCCTCTGAGGATACTATGCCCCTGTTTGCCCTTTCCCTGTAGTCTATCTTTGTCTTTGTCCTGATTGACACTTTGCTTTTTCTCCCTTTGCTGTCTGTCCTCTCTCAGACGGTGAGTTGCTTTCTGTCTGTCTACCCGTCTGGCACTCTGTTGTGATGATACAGTAGCCATGTCTCTCTCATTAAAGCTCCCCCCCCTCAAGTACGCAGCGCTATTTTGACCCTTAATCAATCAAAAGACAGAAAACTGTTGAGAAATGGCTTCCACTGCCGGTAGACTGCATCAGATTCACATACCTCACAGTATCACACCTCACCTGCAGGCACATACACTTTCCTACTTTTATGAGAACTACACATGTGTTAGCATGACTTTCTGTATGCTTGAACTTTGTGCGTGGTATGCCTCATCAGATAATACACAGTGGGTTTGGCACTGTGTGTCGTTGCATGCCTGCGTCAGCGTGTGCCAGCAGCCACATCAACGTTCAGATCTTTCCTTGCTGCATATAAACGATGCCATTAATGTATCATTATAGCTGTTTGTGCTGACGGTGGTTTGTACAGCAGCTCCAGTGTTCACCTGAATCATGCATTTCTTCACCTTTTTATTCCATTTCTTTTCTATGTAACTGTACTGTCAAATGGAGGTTGTTACTGGTCATTTATACAATATTCTAGAGAACGGAAACAGTAAAATGGCTCGGCTAAACCCCATACTATCTACAGATGTGTTCGGTAAGTCATTATGACCTTCATAAAGCTGTCGGCAACTTTCAGTAGCCAGAGGATTTGGGTTGGCCAAGTTACTGTTTGCAGATTTTCACTTCCTTGCCCTCTAAAACAGCCTTAACCTGAATGACGACAAAACAGACCTTCTCAGTCCTCTAGTGGTACATAAACATGAGCGTGTCTGTGAGTTTCCCACTGATTCATGATCACATTGGAGGTTTAATAAAATTATTTTGTTGGTGCTCACAACATTGACCATCAAATTATGTTACTCTAAATATTATTAATGTACTTCTTCAATGCTGTAAGCTAACACAATCAGTTTCAACTCTGATGTATTGAGGTGGTGGCAGAAATGTCAGGCACAAACAAAATTATATATGTGGCTACTATAACATAAGTGAGTAAATAAAGTAATAAGTAAAATAATAGATATATTTTTTTATAAACAACTGTCTCTTATTTTAATTTCCTCCATATTGAATTTATGTGTCAGTTGAACAGATGGATCATGAAGATACTGTATGATAGTTTAAATGCACAGTACTTTCCTTGAAAAAATAATGAAGTCAAGATTCTAGTAGCTGTACCTGTTATAGTGGGTTACACAGGCACTAAATAAAATGGATGAAGATTTTATCACCCGCATCAGCGCTTTCAACCTGTCTCACTTCATCCCTGTGTCTCTTTACCTCCCCTCAGCTGCCAAGACACTGCAGATCTTCAACATCGAGATGAAGAGTAAGGTGAAGGCTCACACAATGACGGAGGAGGTCATGTTCTGGAAGTGGATATCAGTAAACACTGTTGCCTTGGTTACGGATTCAGCCGTCTATCACTGGAGCATGGAGGGGGATTCCCAACCAACCAAAGTATTCGATCGGCACGCCAGTCTGGCAGGATGTCAGATAATCAACTACAGAACTGACGAGCAACAGAAGTGGTTACTGCTGATAGGGATCTCTGCACAGGTATGAACATGTTTACTCACGCCTCGTACAGTAAAAATGCACAGGAACGAAAAATATCTGATCTATCACTCTCTGTTTGATCCTTTGTTCACATGCTCATAACACAAAAAGTCCTCAAACCACCTAAGAACACATCTTTCTCTCTTCACACTAACTCTGCATTCCAGAGTGGATCGATGCAGAAATACCAGCCTCACATTTTAATATGTATGTGGGAAAAAAATAAAATCTATTTGACCTAATAAATGACGTAAGCCAACTTCTGGCCACATTTAACTTTCTCTGGGAACTCATAGTGTATTTGTGGGGGATCCAAAACTAAATGAGTTCTCTCTTGTCCCATATCCCATTCTTCTGCTAACTTTCATAGAAACCTGTTCTGTAGTTTGCATAATCCTTGTAACAGACAGACATGCATGAAAACATATCCTCCTTGGCGGAGGTAAAAGAGCTTTAGTGGGAGTTTGCCTAATTTAAAACCTGAGTGATGAAGAGAAGGAGAAGACTGACCTAGAATCATCTTTGATCTTTCAGCATTTGATTATTGTATGGTGGTGCTGCAGACTGCAGGCCAACAATTAATTTTATTCTTTCTTTGTCTCTTTCCTGCAGCAAAACCGTGTAGTTGGAGCGATGCAACTGTATTCTGTTGACAGGAAAGTGTCTCAGCCCATCGAAGGCCACGCTGCTGCTTTCGGGGAGTTCAAAGTGGAGGGAAATACCAAACTCTCCACCCTTTTCTGTTTTGCTGTGCGCTCCCCGGGTGGGGGGAAGGTGAGTTCCCCTGGGTTGATTGCACAGATTTTACTCACGATGCTATCAAAGTGTATTTAGTCTAGCCTCTGAACAAAGACCTCTGAGTTGCACAAAAAGATAGTGTTTTAGTTAAGATCTAAAGAGAGAGCTATATAGCTGTATGTTCTCCCCTCTGCTGTCTATCAATCTTCATTTTGCTTTACTGTGGCTCTTTGCTTCTTACAGTTGCATATCATTGAAGTGGGTCAACCAGCTGCAGGAAACCAGCCCTTTGCTAAGAAGGCTGTGGACGTGTTCTTCCCTCCAGAAGCTCAGACAGACTTTCCTGTAGCTATGCAGGTAAGAAAACAGCCCTGGTACCCGTTAACTTTGGACAAACTAAGTGTGACTGCTGAGCACTTAAATTCTCCCTCTCATATTTCTCCTCAGATTGGCAGTAAGCATGGTGTAATATATTTGATTACTAAGTATGGTTACATCCACCTGTATGACCTGGAGTCTGGAGTGTGTATCTACATGAATCGAATCAGTGCAGAGACCATCTTTGTCACTGCTCCTTATGAAACCACCTCAGGAATAATTGGAGTCAACAAGAAGGGACAGGTGAGAAACTAGGGGCAATTAGCAATTATTTGATCAGAGTGTCTATTTGCACACAGGTGAAAATAGACACAACAACTTCATTTGGCTGCATTCACAAGCATGGAATGACATAAACACAACCAAATAAATATAACACAAAATAAACACAATGAAAATACATAAAATGTGAACATGAATTCAAATCTTTTCTGCATTGTTTATTCTGTGAAATAAAGGTTTTAATATCAGCAAACACAGATGCAGATACTGATATACGGTCTGTGAAACGCTCAAATGGGCTGATTGTTATTTGCCAACTGATACATGTTTCAGGCTCTTGTGTAAATGGCCAGCTTGGTTCTCCAGCCTGTATGCAATGACATTGTTTGTTATGGACACCTGGGTGCAAATAGCATCTTCTGTTACTATACAAACAATGGGTGTAAGGAGCCACATTGGTGTTCCATCCTAGGTAAAAATAACATTGTTTGCTACTGACACTCAGATGCTAATAGCGTCTGCCCTATCTTACTTAAATGTTTGTGAAAACACAGACCAGGTTTTTATTAAAAACAGATGATAATGATTATTAAATTGTGTCACTTAGTCCTGTTATGTAAGGGAGCCCTCGCAGATAGAAACATCAGCCTTATGCTTCATCTTCCCAGGATTTTGAAAGGTTTGTACATGCTTCCTTTTATGGCCTCTCTACCTAAATAGTATTTATATGTTTATCTGTCTATTTTTCTCTTTCAAGGTCTTGTCAGTATGCGTCGAAGAGGAAAACATTGTCAACTATGCCACGAACGTCCTTCAGAACCCTGATCTTGCCCTGAGGATGGCAGTGAGGTCAAACCTTGCTGGGGCTGAGGAGCTTTTTGCCCGGAAGTTCAACACTTTGTTTGCCCAGGGAAGTTATTCAGAGGCTGCAAAGGTTGCTGCATCAGCACCAAAGGTACGACTGTGTCTACTGCTACAGAATAGTGGATGTACATGATGATACGGCATGTAACAAATAAGACACATTAACTCTAGGATCAACTAAATATTTTTATAGTCATTGCATATCGCCATGTTAATACACTAGTTAATATAAAAAGGTTCAATGGAATTACTTTTTCATTTTTTCTGCTACTTTATTTTTGTCCTTTACCCATAATTCCTCCATTCTTCACCGTATTTCCTTCCCTCAGGGAATCTTAAGGACAGCAGAGACCATCCGTAAGTTTCAGAGTGTCCCGGCGCAGCCAGGTCAGGCCTCTCCACTGTTGCAGTACTTTGGTATTCTTCTGGACCAGGGCCAACTGAACAAGTTTGAGTCTCTGGAGCTGTGCAGGCCCGTCCTGCAGCAGGGCCGCAAGCAACTGCTGGAGAAATGGTTGAAGGAGGACAAGGTAGGACTGGAGGATTTAGAACAACAGGGCAGCTTTTATACCCTGGACTGATCTATGTACACAAGAGACCATGTTGTACCATCCACGCAATCATTATTAACACTGTTGGTAATTGTGATCACACGTGTGCTGTAGCTGGAGTGCTCAGAAGAGCTGGGAGACCTGGTGAAGGCCTCTGACCCCACACTCGCTCTCAGTGTTTACCTCAGAGCTAACGTCCCCAACAAGGTCATCCAATGCTTTGCAGAGACTGGCCAGTTCCAGAAAATAGTGCTGTATGCTAAAAAGGTAATCAGAGAACTCACTGTCCTTTATTCATTACATGTATACTGGGAAAACCTAAACTAATGTTTTGTCAGAGAAAGAAAATACTTCTGTATATTGAGTACATATGATGGCACTAGTTGTCTATAAGATTGTTTGTATGAGCTCATCAATGAATTGAAAATTGTGTTTGTAACTGTGCTGTTGTAGGTGGGCTACACCCCAGACTGGGTGTTTTTACTGAGAAATGTGATGCGTGTTAATCCAGACCAGGGACTTCAGTTTGCCCAGATGCTGGTCCAGGATGAGGAGCCGCTGGCCAACATCAACCAGGTAAAACACACAGCGTTATTACCACCTCACACACTAGAGGCGTACAGTATTGCTTTTACACTTTCCCTCTGCACCTTCATCCTCACACATGCACGCAAACACACAAAGAGCCCAGTGTGGGAGCCTCCATCTGTGTTATTCCAGATGTGCCAGCAATGCCAGGAATTCACTGAGTCAGTGACCCCCTCCTCCTTTTAAAGTCGCATCATCACTCTCCTCAGTTCAAGTCTCAGATAGAGAGACCCTGATGACTAGATGCTTCTCCAAGTAAAGTTAAGACACCCGCCCTTTTCTGTTGTGGCCTCTACAGATGTTGTTAAATATGAAACATGTGGTTTCAAGGCCCATGGTGCTTGATAGTGTGCGACTCTAATCTTACTTTGCATGCTAACTCAAATTATGGTTCACAGATGGCTGTATATCGACATTTTTTCTGACTGAATTCTTTCTTTTCCTTTCTCTTTTTTCTTTTGCCCTTTGTCAGATTGTAGATGTTTTCATGGAGGGCAGCCTGATCCAGCAGTGCACCTCCTTCCTATTGGATGCGTTAAAGAACAACCGTCCAGCTGAAGGACACTTGCAGACACGTCTGCTCGAAATGAACCTCATACATGCCCCCCAGGTGAACATTCAGGCCTCCTCTCCTTATTACAAAAAGCAACTTTACCTTACTTTACTTTCATTTGTGTTTTCATGTGTGTCACGAACTGTTTTCAGGTGGCAGATGCGATCCTGGGGAACCAGATGTTCACACACTATGACCGTGCCCATGTTGCTCAGTTGTGTGAGAAGGCAGGTCTGCTGCAGAGAGCTCTTGAACACTACACCGACCTGTATGATATCAAACGAGCTGTGGTGCACACGCATCTGCTCAACCCTGAGGTATGCCTGAAGACGTTTGGTCATGCTCGTGAATACCACTCTCTTGGGAGCCAGCCACCTTTCCCTTTTTGTTTTAATGATACATGAAAATGCCTGAACCCACTTCTTTTGTCCTCCTCCCTGCTCAGCCTATTGTCTCACTGTCTCACTGTCTCCCCATCTTCCCTTTTCTTATTCGACTCTGGTTTTAGTGGCTGGTGAACTTCTTTGGCTCTTTGTCAGTAGAAGACTCGTTGGAGTGTTTAAGGGCCATGCTGTCGGCTAACATCAGACAGAACCTGCAGTTGTGTGTCCAGGTAGCATCTAAGTATCACGAGCAGCTGGGAACTCTGGCATTAGTGGAGCTCTTTGAATCCTTCAAGAGTTATGAGGGTAGGTGTGTCACACATGGGCTGGGGTGGTATGCAGACCTGGGTCATGTTGGATTAAAGCAAGAGAATGTGTCAAATAGGGTTTACTTAGTAATGAATGAAGCTGACTGTTTCTCCCACTTCCTTTTCTATTCAAGGATTGTTTTACTTCCTTGGGTCGATTGTGAATTTCAGCCAGGAGCCAGACGTCCACTTTAAGTACATCCAGGCTGCCTGTAAAACAGGTCAAATCAAAGAAGTGGAGAGAATATGTAGAGAGAGCAACTGTTATGACCCAGAGAGGGTTAAAAACTTCCTCAAGGTAAAATTACCCCCCGAGACTAGTGATGATTGTTTTTTAAATGTTCTGATATATTGTATAACCCATTTAACACAAATTAACCTTGTGTTTATTTTCTTTGTAGGAGGCCAAACTAACAGACCAGCTTCCGCTTATCATTGTGTGTGATCGCTTTGACTTCGTCCATGATCTTGTTCTTTACCTCTACCGCAACAATCTACAGAAATACATTGAAATCTATGTACAGAAGGTAAGACCGAGAAAACTGCTGAGACTTTATAAATTACTGGTTTGTACCAAATCCAATTGTCTCGTTATTTAGTCTACATAACAACCTTTTATATGAGGAATTTGTTGCACTTGTTTTCAGGTGAACCCTAGTCGTTTACCAGTGGTGATAGGTGGGCTGTTGGATGTCGACTGTGCTGAGGATGTCATTAAGAACCTGATCATGGTGGTCAGAGGGCAGTTTTCCACTGATGAACTGGTAGAGGAGGTAGAGAAGAGAAACCGGTAAGAAGATAGATAGAATCATTTCTGTCGAGATATATATATAACATACATTACATAATGCATATGCACAATTTGTGTCTCTTAAGGTCCCGAACAGGGGTTTATTGGAACATGTTCTGATTTTTAAAAGCCGTTAGTGAATAGCTAGACAATAAAAGAAAGGAGAGAGAGAGATGGGGTATGAAATTCTGCACGTGTCCAAGGCCAGATTTGAACTCTGGATATTGGAGTTATGCGGCATGGGCTTGAGCCATTCAGCTACTAACACAACCTTTTTAGAATTTACCTTTAAAACACGAACCACTTCATACCATAAGTCTGAGAAGAAAGATGTCGGGCCAGTTAAAATAAAGAGCAGTGATTTCCTTTTCATAAATAAATCCTTTGTTCTTTGAAAAACTTTTTATTAATAATGCTTGAGGGGATCAACAGAAGTCTAAATATGAGGTGACTGAAATATGCATATAAATACATACTACGAAAAATGCCCCTGGTTTTTTTGCTCCTTGTACTAAAATATTCCTTGTAAATATTTTAATCTTAGCATGTGCTTTAAATGTTGATTTTCTGGGCACTATTTTCCCACTGTATTCCTGTGGATCTTCAATCGAGGTTGTAGGTATTTCTAGTATAAATTCTCCATCAAACAGGTGAATCTGAGAAAGATTGGGCACAGTGTGAATGACACTGCTGCATTCACAACACTGACATCTAGTGTTTCATAACATCGTCTACTATAACAGGAAGTAATGGTACTATAATACATTCAAGTTAAAATCTTCTAAATGTTATCAAATGGAGCAGGTCTTTCTAAACATTGTGTTTTCTCTTATACTTTTAGGTTAAAGCTTCTGTTGCCGTGGCTGGAGTCCCGTATCCATGAAGGCTGCGAGGAGCCAGCCACTCACAATGCCCTCGCTAAGATCTACATCGACAGCAACAACACACCTGAACGTTTCCTGAAGGAGAATCCGTTCTACGACAGCGCTGTTGTCGGTAGATACTGTGAGAAGAGAGACCCCCACCTGGCATGTGTGGCCTACGAGAGAGGACAGTGTGACCTGGAGCTAATCAAAGTGTGTAGATCACAGTGTAAAGCATATAAATGTCAGTCACATAATTCTAATATTGATTAACTGATTTTCATTTACCTTTTATGATTTATTCTCAGGTTTGCAATGAGAACTCATTATTTAAGAGTGAGGCTCGATATCTGGTACGACGGAAAGATCCCGAGCTCTGGGCGAACGTGTTGGAGGAAGACAACCCCTTCAGAAGACAACTCATTGATCAGGTCAGGTTTTACCCAGCTCCCCACCTGAGGTGATGCAGACTGTAAATCAGGGGTGTTTTCTTTATGCTTATATTTGTTTTCTCCTTGTTTAATTTAATTGCAGGTGGTCCAGACGGCGCTGTCAGAGACGCAGGACCCTGAGGAAGTGTCCGTCACCGTCAAGGCTTTCATGACGGCAGACCTGCCCAACGAGCTGATTGAGCTGCTGGAGAAGATTGTACTTGATAACTCTGTCTTCAGCGAGCACAGGTACTGACTTGCTGCCTGTTAGGCATCATAGTAATTTACCCACAATACTTCTCCTGTTTTTTAAGAATCTCTGTTTTTTCCCCCAGAAACCTCCAGAACCTACTGATTTTGACAGCCATCAAGGCCGACCGCACTCGAGTGATGGAGTACATCAACAGGCTAGACAACTATGACGCTCCAGACATCGCCAATATCGCCATCAGCAATGAGCTCTTTGAGGAAGCGTTTGCCATTTTCAAGAAGTTTGATGTCAACACCTCAGCCATACAGGTGAAGGAAATAACACAGTGGAAGTTCTAAGTACTTCAGTTAATAGTATTTGCTCGTCTAAGCTGAGTTTTGATCAACTTCTTTTATTTGACATTGAATATCATAACATAAATGAAAAAGGTTAGATTGATGTGTTTAGTAGTTGTAATGGTTTTCTCAGTCAATACAAAGTGAAATAAGTATTAGAAGTATTCACCTTGATATTTAAAAACTAATTAATTTGGATTTTTTTGTGTATAAATATTGAGAATCTGCATTGACAATTCCTGCGGCAGGTTGTATAAGTGAATCACTGTTGAACCAATCATGCTCCTTTTTATCAACCCTGATGTTTTATCTTTTCTCGTCCTCATGTCTCTAGGTCCTGATAGAGCACATAGGGAACTTGGATCGTGCCTATGAGTTTGCTGAGCGCTGTAACGAGCCTGCGGTGTGGAGCCAGTTAGCCAGAGCTCAGCTGCACAGAGACCTGGTCAAGGAGGCTATTGACTCGTATATTAAAGCCGTCGACCCGTCAGCGTACATGGAGGTGGTCAACGCAGCCAGCAAGAACAGTAAGCCTTCACTTTGCTACATAACTCTGCTTAAACAACGTCAGTCACAAACAGATCATCAACGTGTTGGTTTTATTTTGCAGATAACTGGGAAGACTTGGTTAAATTCCTTCAGATGGCTCGAAAGAAAGCAAGAGAGTCGTACGTGGAGACGGAGCTGATCTTTGCTTTAGCCAAGACGAACCGTCTGGCGGAGCTTGAGGAGTTTGTCAGTGGGCCCAACAATGCTCACATACAGCAGGTAAGAAAAACAGAACAGGTGCAGTGTCCTGTTCCTTCGAAGTTTACCTGCACATCATGTAACTGCTCATTTATCTTTCTCTTTCTTCAGGTGGGCGATAGATGTTATGAGGAGGGTATGTACGAAGCAGCCAAGCTCTTGTACAACAACGTGTCCAACTTTGCTCGACTTGCATCGACACTTGTCCATCTCGGAGAATATCAGGCGGCTGTGGACAGCGCAAGGAAAGCCAACAGCACACGGACATGGAAAGAGGTAACCACTACAAGTTTAGCCTCTGTTCAACTGTTTTACTAGTCTTGTCCTTATAGAATCCTTATTATAATTCACATTTCAAGATATATTTTACTTAAGTTTATCTTATTTTAATGTTTTCCTTTCCTCTCTCTCCCTCCGACCTTCAGGTATGCTTTGCGTGTGTTGACGGCGAGGAGTTTCGGCTGGCACAAATCTGCGGCCTTCACATAGTGATCCACGCTGACGAGCTGGAGGATCTGATCAGCTACTATCAGGACCGTGGCTACTTCGAGGAGCTCATCGCTCTGCTGGAGGCTGCGCTGGGACTGGAGCGGGCTCACATGGGCATGTTCACCGAGCTCGCCATCCTCTACTCCAAGTTCAAACCACAGAAGATGAGGGAGCACCTGGAGCTGTTCTGGTCCAGAGTCAACATCCCAAAGGTAAATTATGTTTGTACATTTGTGTGTGTGTCTCAAATTAAATTTTTCTATTGTAATAAATCAAAGAGCTGATCACAAAAAAGGAGGCTGCTTTTTTTACAAAGTCGTGTTTTATCCTAAATGTGCCAAATGTCAGTCCTTGAAACCTTTGAATGTGGTTCAGGGTTTAATATGTATTTTACTTACCAGGTCCTTCGTGCAGCGGAGCAGTCTCACTTATGGGCGGAGCTGGTGTTCCTGTACGATAAGTACGAGGAGTTTGACAACGCTGTCCTCACAATGATGTCTCATCCTACAGACGCATGGAAAGAAGGGCTGTTCAAAGACATCATTGCTAAGGTAAAGAGCAGTGTTGGTGACTAGGTAATTTATTTACCTTTTTAAACTTTTAAATATCTTCATACATTTTTCTTGTCTTGTCCTCAGGTTGCCAATGTGGAGTTGTACTATAAATCTCTGTCCTTCTACCTGGATTACAAACCTCTATTACTGAACGACCTACTGACCATTCTGTCTCCACGGTTGGACCACAGCCGGGCAGTCACCTTCTTCAGCAAGGTAACAGTGACGTCAACTTCAATGAATTATGCCCTCTCTGTTTTCCTTCTTACAGATTGTGCACAGTGTCAAATACTTCTGACATGACACTGATTGTTTTCGTTTGACCAGCTGAACCAGCTGAAGTTGGTGAAGCCTTACCTGAGATCTGTCCAGAGTCACAACAACAGGTCCGTCAACGAAGCTCTCAACAACCTGCTGACAGAGGAGGAAGACTACCAGGTCGCTCAACCATTCTGATTCTGATACCGACAACAGAAAGTAGACATGATATTAACACTTAATGAAACGGGACTCCAACCTTCCCTCTAAGTGGTCTAATGGAGCTTGTGATCTCTGCTCCTTAATGATCGTCCAATTTTGGTGTCTACTTATCTGTCTGTCATATCTTCACTTATTCACAGATGCATTAGTCAGATGTTGACATTATTTCATAACACAGATGTGAAAGCCCTAACAACATGCACAGTTGATTTGACTCTACAGAACAATCTTATTTGTCACATTTGTTTGGGAAACTTGGATTATATTTAATCTGATGTGGTTTATATTTGTACATAGCAATGTTTGAATGGTAGAAATCATTTCAGGGGCACATTTGAAATAGTGTAATAGTAGAAAATATACCCAGATTCTATGCTTCTCACTTGATATTCAGTTATAACAAACTAACTGGTTCAGGTTTTTTGGACTGTGCTGTAATATTTAACATGTTATCCACAGGGTCTGAGAGCGTCTATCGATGCCTACGATGACTTTGACACCATCGGTCTGGCTCAGAGGTTAGAGAAACATGAACTGATTGAGTTTAGGCGTATCGCTGCCTACCTGTACAAGGGCAACAACCGCTGGAGACAGAGTGTAGAGCTCTGCAAGAAGGACAAACTATACAAGGTGAGATCATTCACAGACATTATCTAATAAATCAAAAAGAGGTGCTTGTAGTCAAACAAGTACCTCCATTCCCCTATAGATGGCACTGTTTGTTTATACTTCAGATACACTGGCTGTATTTGGAGATAGATATATGAACCATGTAGCATCAAGTACACACCAATACAATTTTCAGTTGGCAATTTCCTCACAAAAATGTTTGAATGAGGACTCAAACTTTTATGTTTCCCATAATGAGTCAGGTAAATGTGTCTTTCCCAGGATGCCATGCTGTACGCTGCAGAGTCAAAGGATGCTGAGCTGGCAGAGACGCTGCTTCAGTGGTTCCTGGAGGAGGGCAGGAAGGAGTGCTTCGCCGCCTGCCTCTTTGCCTCCTATGACCTGCTTCACCCTGACGTGGTGCTGGAGCTCGCCTGGAGGCACAACATCATGGACTTCGCCATGCCGTACTTCATCCAGGTCATGAGAGAGTACCTCACAAAGGTCGGTACTTCACTGAGGAGCAAGAGAACGAGTTCAACTTATTTGTTGTTCATTTTAGTTTCTCTTTTAATATAAAAGTAGGGTTGATTACTTTATATTTTCTAGGAGAAACAAGTTTGAAATTCTGCATTTTTCCTTTTCTTACATTGTTAAATTTCCTGTAGAAACCTGTGAGAGTTGGACAAAAGTCTGAAGTGATATTGCAAACAGGTCATAACAACAATTTCAATTAATGCATATGATGAGCAGGTAGAGAGAAATTCTCTTTTAAGTGATGGTAGTTCTGTGTACTGTATATTTACCAGTGAACTACCTCTGGTCATCGTGATTTCCCTTAACGCTGACCTGTAGACACGTGAGGTCACTTGAGGTCATTTCTCTGGGTTCTTTTCCAGGTTGATGAGTTTGCAGCGAAGGTGATGGTCTCTGGCCCTCTTTTTATTTCTCCTCTGTGTCCTGTCTGTTTGTTTTTGTTGTAACTTAACTCTTAGGTTTCTGATGTAGGAACCTAGCATGGACTGTAGACTGAGTAGGGCCTAACCAGCTCTGGTGCTGGAGAGCTGCATTAGTGTGTGCGCAGGCTTTTGTTCCACTTCAGCACCAACACAACACATTTTAATGAAAGACTGTAAGTAATTTAGTGTAATGACTAAGCGTTAATGACTGAATAGCCAAGTTATATGAAAGACTTGTCAAACTTATCGAGTGCCTAAGCTTTTAAAACCTTACTCAACATTTTAAATGGATGTTGAGCTTTTGACATTCAAGTACAAATTAATTCATAAAAACAAAAAGTCAACCAACCACTGCTGTTTATTGATCTTTATTGCAAACATGAAAAACAGCAGGCTAAATGTGGAAATAGTGCATGACACCAAAGCTTTATGTTCTGAGTGTGCCACCATAATGGATTAAAGAATAACAATTAGCTGCTACTTGTTTTGCAGGTTATAATTAATGGAGCCCTACATTTCTGACATTGACACATTCAATGATCACCTATTCACCATCATTTATTTATACTGTATCCAGGAGATATAATGTGGTATAGAAGACGTTTTGGACCATAAATGTGAACCCATAATTATTGTGTTGGTGGCTGGAGCCAAAAGCCTGCGCACCATATTGTTCCTCAGGACCAGAGTGAGCGTGTTCTGGTCTAACAGAAACCTCTCACTTTCAAACTACTCTGTCTTGGGGCTGCATCTAGTGTTGAGTGGCATATATGCAATTTGACGGTTTCTGTTTTGCTGATGCAAAATTAATGAGATTGATGTTACAGTCGGCCACTTAGTTGTTTTTATGTTGTGGCTGATCAGTGTAGTATGATCTGAGAAAAACGATGATATCTCCATCTGGCCAAAGCCCGAGATGAAGGCTGGTGAGAAGAGCAGGCCACTCCAGACTTGTTAGATGCATCCCCATGATTCTAACTCCAGATTAAAAAGTTTTAGTCTAAAATATTTACCTGAGTTAGATCAGAACAGAGCTTCAAACACTAACTTCTAAGATGCTGGAGTCCTTCTTTCCTTATGGGGAAATGGAAATCTAAATTATTTTTTAGAGACTAAATAGTTTGTTCCTAGAATCACTGGTGCACAGTTTTTATTTATTTTTTTACCTCAGAGTAGTTAAGCACATAACAAAAACCAGAAATAAGGTCATACTGATATTGTTTTATATAGTAAAAAAACACCCCTTTGTATTCCATGCATCTGGTATTTTAAAAATGCATTGTACAGAAAACATTTCATCCACACTCTATTTAATATATAATAATATCATGTACAGAAAGGTGCTTTACATGTGCTGTTTAATGTTTCCTCTCTTTTGCCCAAACTTTTTTCATCATCTCCTGAAATTATTACCCGATAGAAATTCTACATCTTTTAAAAAATCTACATTGATTAAGGTGAACCACTGTTTTAATTAATCTCCACTTACATCAGAAACCTTTTGCATTCAGCTTCATCCACAGTGGAAGCACAACGCCTGAATATTTCTTTGCACTTGCAATGATTTCTAGGCACTAAAACTGGCACCACAAGCAACTCACTGCGTAAATACTGAATGCTTGGCAAGGATGAGCTTTAACCTTCCAGCTTCTAATCCGTAGCTTTATTTTAGTAACAGAATGAAACACGTGAACTTTTTATTGCAGCCGTAAATGGGATGCATGCAGAAGCTGTGATTGTAGTGATATTAGACTGTTTACTGTGAATGGCTGGAAATGTAGCATCAGCACATAGGCATGTATAGCTTTTCTTTTACTTAATACACAATGTAATAGTTCTTTTAACCTTCAACCCCACTGCAATTCTTCCTGTAAAGAGCCAGTTCACACAAATGATGATGATGATTGTGATTTGTGTGAATGGATGCTTTAGATGTTGACTGAACATTTGTACTGGAAGCTGTGTTAGAAATTCTCACCAAACCTGCATGGCATCTTCTCTTAGGTAACCTTAGCTGCACTGTGAGGAATTGTGTGTAGTTGTGTCTTTTGTTTAGTGGGTTTGATAAACCAGCTGTTTTAACTAGTCTTATTTATCAGTACTTTCTTTTATTAAATAAAACACAGTGTAGCATTGCAGTTTATGGTCTAATGTAAGAATGTCATTTAAATAAAACTGCACTGAGATCATTACATTGAAGGTATCCAGCTAAATTACTATGTAGAAAATGTGTTTGTTTTTTTGACAGCTAGTTTTATGTCCATGATATGAATATTCCAAATATTTGCTTGCATTTTACTTGCAAATGTTTCTGCAGGATACCTACAGTGTATGAAATCAGACTTTCTTTCATTCTTTACACTTGTGTGTGAGTGTGTGAGTTAACCGCGTCTGATCGATGCTCTTTTCTTTGTTGCCGTCAGGTGGACAAGCTGGAGGAGACAGAAAGCCAAAGGAAAACTGAGGAGGAGGTGACGGAGCCTCAGCCGATTGTGTTTGGTAGGTTTACAGTGGGAAATCACCCTGAAGGACAGACAGTGGTGGTTCCTGAATAGAAGAAAGAAAACAGATAAAACAGGAGGACACATTCTGCTGTTGTTATCTGCAGCATTTATCTGACCTCTCCTAAACCTCCATTCTCAGAAACTATTTGTGTTTTACAACTGGGTGAAAACATGGCTGTTGCTGTTGAAATCCAGAATTACCAGTGATGATAAAATATTGCTAAAAGTATTTTACAAAAGAATTGTTAGTTTATCCGGAACAAATTGGGACACAAATCTGGTTAGACTAGGTTGTTATTTCATAAAGTTTAGTTTGATTGGATTCAGACAGTTATGAACTCAAATTAAAGTACATTTTATCTGGTAACAGATTCACAATGCTTGCGGTTAAAAGATTCTGTCTAACATCAAGGTTTTAGTGAAAAATGCTTAAATAAATGACATTGAATGAGAGCTGGTTGTAAAAAGTTTATTTTCTCTGTCCCATGTGACCCTGTGTTTGTGTTTGTTTGTGTGATCAGGCCAGCAGCTGATGTTGACTGGCTCTGCTGCTCCAGTGGCACCCCAGCCAGCGTACTCAGGCTATGGCTACCCTGCCAACGCAGCAGGCTTCCCTCCTCAGGCCGCCGCCGCCGCCACTGCTGCTGCTGCTGCCGCCGCCGCCGGCTATCCTGCACAGCCTGCTTATGGCTTCAACATATAGAGGCCTGACTCTGCCTCCCCCCCCCCCCGCTCCCCTCTGTCTCCACTGCACACACTCACACAACTCAGACCTGAACCACACTGAACCGCGCTGCTCTGAGTCTCAAGCGGCCAAATGATGGCGCAGAGACCCTTCCCCGAAACTTGACTGGGCCTTCATTTCCTAACGAGACTCCTCCCGTCTTCAGTGAAACTGCAGTAGAAACCCTTCATATCTCCTCTCCCTTCAGAAGATCTGCATCAAGGCTCGTGGACCCTCCCCTCCCTCCCTGCCGCCCTCTACTCTCCACTAGGATGTTACAACTGTATCACTGATCTACACCGCATGACGTCCCCTCTCAGCTCCCAGAGGAATTAACATACTGAAGATAACATAGTGACACAAGACCACTCTGTCCTGTTGCTGTTCCATGTAGACGTAACTAACCATAAAGCAGCTGTTTCCTTTATTTGATATTCCTTATTTCTATAGATTCAGCACTGATGAGGAAGAGACTTACTGAGGAGTGGAGGGGCGTGTGTGTGTGTCCCCCTCCCTCCTGAAGCACTGCTACGGCCTTATTTAGAGAAGGTGGCAAAAAACACAGGCTCATTTGTTCATGTTTAATTTCACAACTGTCTCATGCTCTGATTAGAATGACGGTTACTGTGCAATAGTTTTGTTTGTCCTTTCACAACAGGTACAAAGTGTTTGCTGTATATGGACTAAGAACACTTGTTTATGAGGTTACAGTACTGTCCGTGTGTGTGTGTGAGCGCTAGTGTAAGTGTGTGTGTGTAGCCTCTGGAGTCTTCACCAAACCTAGAGGCACTCCATGAAATGTCCACTCCCTTGCAACAGCAAACGTTTCGCTGGCTCAGAGCAGTTGATCTCGTCAGATGACTTTTTTTTTTTTTTTTGGGACTCTGATACCGGACACCTGGAGCTTCAGGACGAGTGAGACAGAAAGAAAGAAAGCAGGTGAAATAATAATGCTATATGCTGTAGTCTGTGCATGTGCTGCCAAACTATAATGCTGCAACCAGGAGCACAATTTTCATGTTACACTCAAGTATATCAAGTATTAACTAATGTTGTGTCAAAAACTAAGTGATGTTCGAGGAAAGTTTCTCACCTGACTAACGGAAAATGGAGACGAAACTCTGACAGTCTCGAGGGGGGGGGGGACGTTAGCTCACATCCTGGTGCCAGTTGTTTCAAAGAATAATCATTATTGTACTGAAAAGTGTATAATTTAAGATATAACTAATCAAAGAAGTCAAATATTATGGATTACCATATGTATTGTCTATAGTGTGTTGTTGTAGTCTTAAAAAAAAAAAGCATAATGATTTTTGTAAGAAAAGGACAAAATGCAAAAACAGCAGGTTAATAAATGGCTAAATCTTGAGGTAAGGCTGCTCAACGTGGTGACGGTTTGCTCGACTGTGAAGCTCCTGTCCCGCTGTGGTGTCAACTTTGGATTGATCAAAATGGAGAAGGAAAAAGCCTGAGCTGCACGTGAGCACTCCCTTAATCTGCACAAGTCATGAAAACAAAAAGAGGAATAAAGTTTACACACAGTGGTGGTGGTCCATTTTTACGTCCACTAAGGAGATCATCTTTTCGTCCTGATCCCTTTTGTTTGTTTGTAAGCAGGATTAGGCAAAAAAACTACTTAATGGATTTTCCAAGAAATTGAAAATAATGGATATACACAGAAAAAAGTGAGCTTGTAAAATGACATATTAAGGTTTTCCATTTCTTCTTAGTGGATTTCCTCAAAACTTGGTGGAAGGATGGAGTTTTGCTGATCCAGGAGCTTCTATCACTTTCTGTAACGTTTGTGAGAAAGGTTTTTCTTTTTACAATTTCTCGGGAAATACTTCAAGGATCTTGATTTTAAAAAATATGACACATTTAGGGAACTGATATCTATGAGTCTGTGCAATTTGGAGCAGCTTGATTGAATTTAAAGGGACTGCTGGAGCCTTGGCACAGGTATGAGTTCTCCTGGGTGCCATTCGTTCTCCCATGTATTCACATCAGGAGAAATATAGATGCTATTAAACCACAGTGGAGAGCTCAGCTTCGGTTTTCTGTCTATTTTGTGACGGCCGGCTCAGTTTTACACAGTGAAGATGGTTTTTGATAAAGAGATTTTCTGCTGCACCTCCTGTGCAGGACACATGTTGGTGACCTTTCTGTCCAGATCTGATGGATGGATGGTTTCTGTCCCTGTGGGAGCTGCAGCCTCTTTGTTTGGAGAGGGTGGGGTTTGGACCTTTTTACCGTCTGCTGCTGGGGGAACGCTCCCGGTTTCTTAGTTTAAGATCACCCAACACAAGGGAAACCGTTTTTATTCATGCTCACTGGGAGGGATCTTCATGTTAATACAGTCAGAGAGAAGCTGCGCCCCACCCTTCTGCTGGGAAACTGAAGTAGGCACTCCCTTCTCTTAAGAACACTCAGTCTGACACACACACACACACACACACGTCTCTTTGTGGCCTTTATTTGAAGTTTTCTCGCTTTTACGCACACGTCTCCTCTCCAAGTTCCAGGCGGCACCAGGATTGCGCGCCCCGCCTCTCTCCCGGGTCTCCTCTCTCCCTCTTACACACTACCGTCGTGATAGCAGCGTTGCCACAGTTACAAGTAGCAGCTATTGGATTATAGAAGCACAACTTCCTTGACGGTCCCAGTATCCGCCCACTGTCAACACACACAGATCCGCCGGAGTCTCCGGACTCACCAGAGGAGATCACCTGCACCCAGAGAGGCGCGTCACGGCAGCCTTCCGCCCATGTGTTGCGCGCAACAAAGAACCAAGCTTCCTACCTGAAGATCGAGCTCTTCTTCAGATTCCTGCAGATTCCCCTGTGTGTTGAGTTTTGCGGTGGTCATGCAGGACAGACGCACATTCACCAGCCCCTTCTCCAGACCGCGGTGTCTGGCCGCAGCGGCGCCGGCGAAGGCGAAATTAACGCACCCGGGGAAGGCGATCCTGGCCGGTGAGTTCCTCATGGTGACGTGTCTCACCGAGAAAGTCAGAAATAGACCAAAATCCGGTTTGTTTTAAGTTAAAACGAAGCCAAAGTTTGATAAAGAGTGTTATTGTTTCAGAGGTAGTTTATGTGAGATTCTGCAAAGATAACAGCTGTGGGGAAAAAAACCCCCCCAACAACCTTTAAATCAACCTGGAGTTAAAAAAAACTCTCAAATACTTCAGCATGTAGAAATATCTGGATGTGGACTAGGTGATAAAACTATATCAATTATTATCGCAATATGATTTACATCATTAACTAAAGTCCAATATATCGATATATCGCTTATAGGTATATTGTGAAAACAAATTATTGATCTATCTCAGATTTAATGTTTTGTCGTTTGTCAAGTGTTTTTCAGTCTCTGCTCTTTAAACTTAAAATAAATAATAATGTGACATTTATCGTCATATTTATTGATATTGACGGATATGAACATTTCTATTCTGGTACAGTATAATTTACTTTCAGCCAAAATGGGGAAATAGGCTATTTTTTAACAGTTGAAACCCCCCCCCCAAAAAAGAAACAAACTGTTTCAAACAGGATTATCACAATTTGAGTTAGTTTTGAGTCATTTTCTTTTTAGCAAGAAGCACAAAAATTAGATTTTTTGGGGGGATCTGAAGATTACGGAGATGCACACATAAAAAGGGAGCTTATGAAAGATATTATGGTTTCCACCTTCTCTGCCAACTTCTGCCTCTTTCCCTCAAACCTTGTTGACCCTGTGACCCCTGAAGCTGCAGCAAAAGAGAAGTCGAGAACCTAAGAAAGACATTTTCTTCCCTGTCCCTTTGCCCTGTCATGGTCGGATCGTATACCTGCTGCTGCACTGATGTGATTAAATTTCCCCTAATCTAAAGATCACCTCTGGTGCACTTTACTTAATGCTGCAGAGTGATGCAGACACTGAAACAATGACTAGAGTCGTCCCTGCTGGGTTTCACGTATAAAAACTCCCTTATTGTTGAGCTTTTATCGAGATGTCACTAAAACCTTGGCTCCTGATAGACCTGGTGTTTTCACATCCGTCACTATTCTTTGAATTTGTAAACAATGTATTTGTAGTTTTGTTTTCCGATACAGAACTAACAAATATTAATTCTGTCATTTCAATGCTTCATAGGGCTGTAACCAATAACTATTTCCATTTTTGCTCAGTCTATTAATTCGATTTGGAATACTGGGTTAACAATGTATGAAAACAAAATGTCAAATATATCGATAAATACCTAAATGCACAAACCCCATTGAAATGATACATGATATAATTTAGTCAGAAAGAGTCCTTTCACTGATGATTATTTAATCAGTCATCATAACGGATCAATTAATTTACTGATTGGTTCAGCGCTGCTTGTTTTTAGCCTCGTCTGTGATTCATCAGTTTATCCCCGCTAAGGCTACGACCCCCCCCCGTTGCTGTTGCTCGGCTGTTGCTCAGACCCGTCGACCCCCTCATGTGATGATGATGAGGATGCAGCAGCTCCGGTTGATGAAGACGCTCCTGTATTAATGCTCCATGCTGGTGTTTGGCAGCACACTCTTGCTCTGGCAACTGTCAGACGCTGAATATTTCATCCCTCTGAATGAATTATTTTTGATTGAAGTTTCAAAACAAACAGTTTGCCAGCTGATCTTTTTATTTTACTCTATTGATTATTGTTTTTTTAATTAAACGATCGATCATTTTGCCTCACAAATGAGTGAGCCTCCTAAAATTGTTGAAAACCCCCAAAGATTTAGTTTAATATCTTGAATAATAAATAAAAATATTATATCATCACAAGTTTAGATTTTTTTTATATTTCCACCAGTGATTTATGGTTTAAAGAACAAGAATCCTTTCCAAACCTTAGCGACAGTAACACAAATCAAGTGCAATGTAAACAGGGTCCAAACAGTCATCATGAATGCCTCTGATCTATTTTTGAATAACCAAATACTTTTTCTTTTATATTTCACATATAGCCTTACGCCATTTATGTACTCTAAGAACAACTGTAGATTTAATAAATTTGTGGCGTGAGTGGAATGAAAAAATAAAAAAATCTCCTCTCCTGACCCATGTCACCCTGTCAGCTGCCTGGAAATGGAAGCGTGGCTGCGTTGAGACCTTCCCCCCCTCAGTCCTGTGCAGCCTGATTGACTGGATATGGCCCAGTATTGCTCCCTGTGGCGTTTAGCTCGTCTCAGACCTGTCTGTCCTGTTTTGCAGCAGCAGCATGATTACACTCTCTGTCTCAACTCCGTGCACCCGCTGACTCCTGCTGGCCTCGCAGTCGAGAAAAACCATCGATTTATCACTGTCTCTCAAAGGTTCTGGAAATGAGAGTGTGTCCGAGCATCACTGGGATGACTCAGCGATAGATATACTGCCTCTGAGAGTCTGACCTGACGTATCGTCCATTAAAACACCACAGCTGATCGTTTACCTTGCCTGAATATCAATTCTACTCGATATTTCAGCTGTACGAGGCACTTCATGAAAACAGTTGACACCTCTTCTGGTTTTCCTGACGTGCTGAAGCTACTTCAGATTTATCTGTTATGGTTTGCAGTGTATCTATGTGGAGAGAGCAGAGTACTCTTACCCGCCTGAAGGCTGCCAGTAGACAAAGCAAGAAGTAGAAGGTCAGAGCTTAATGGATTAGAGACCCCTCATAGATGGCGGACGGGGAGTAGAACTGCACGCTGCACGTTTTTGCAAAGCTTTTAGAGGCCGGTGAGCTCATTCTGCTGCTATTGGTTAGGTCAAGTCTCTCCACAGCCACTGGTGATGGCTGAGGCTGAGACACGGAAAGAGGGAGAGTTTTGTCTCTGTGAGGCCTGAGGGTGAGAGGCTGGTCTAAGTGGCTCTCTGGTCCTGCTTTGCTTGGTGTTGTTCATTCATACACTGCTGTGGCTCTCACACATAACCTGCTCAGGAGCGAGTAGAGTCGGAGCAGCAGAGGGATGGACAGAGAGAGAAAGTTCCCATTTAATCTCGATTTCATGATAGATTGTCCTCAGACACAGCCGGGTTTTTATGCCACTTTTCCTGTTCTCTTTTCTTTCCCTTGCTTCCAGCCTCAGGGCAGCCGGTTAGGTTTTGTGAGTGGCTGTCTCTTCTCCGCCTCGCAGTCCTCATCAAACTATGGCTTACTCCCCGTTTCCTTGCGTCACACTCACAGGCGACGCGCAGTCCTCACAGTCCACTCCCATACATTGTTTCTGCTTCCAGCAGACCCTGAGCACCAGGAGGCCAGATAATAAATCACTGTGCACTTGCCAACCCCCAAACTGTCCCCACTGTAACAGCCTTTCAGCTGGATGCTGGTGTGATGCAGCCACGGACACACAAACACACAGCAACATAGAGATTAGAGCAGTAATGTAAAACACAACCGGCCTATCACATTAATATTTTCCATCTATTTCATTGTTTTATAACAGCACCTCACTGCTGGTTTTGCCTGAGTTTGTATTTGCCCCTGAGTCAAATTCATTTTTGTTGAGGAAATCAATCAAAGTGAACATGCAGTTGCTCTAATGTCTTTTCATCAAAGTTATGTAATAACACTAGGCTAATTTATTTTCAAGTAATTACCCTGTCTTAGATGTGAAAGCTCGTCGCCCAACATCAATCTTCTGAAGACTTCGAAAAGCTTATTTATCAGTCAGCTTCTTATTATGAGCGAGGGGGGGTGTTAGGTCCTGAGGAAAATATCTGTCTCTTCAGCTGCGAATAATTCAACAAACACGAGTAGCTCAGTTCTGTGTTGTTTGGTCTTGAGAAGGTTGAGTATAGAGTGTTTTTTTGTTTTTAGAGCTTCTTCACTGAAAACCGCTGCTGAAGAGAGACTGGACCAAAGCTGTGAAGTTGCCAAATAAAAACAGTGAGCTGAAAGAGGATAAAATGCTCAGTGGAGCTGAGAGGAACTGAGTCAGGGGAAGTTTCTGTGGGCTCATCACACAGACATTATGAAGATGGACGACGATGTGTCCCCACTTCCTCCCAGTATCCAGTAGTGAAGTCAAAACAACGATTGGGATTGGGGGGGTGAAGCTGTAGTAGCAAGGTCCTGCCCATACACAACCAATCAGGAGTCAGTCTCAGATGACGTTTCACCACATTTTTAGTTCTTTAAATGAATTATGAATTTAAACCAACTCACAAAATTACATCTTGGACAGACAGATGAAGATTTACTGTAAATGAAAGAGAAAAACTCGCCAAACTGCTAACATGGAGGAGGTGGGGTTTATGACATATACTGCAGCCAGCCTCAAGAGAGTGATCAAGATGCTTTGGCTTCACTTTTGGGATCATGCCGTCCACCTTTATATACAGCCTCTAATGCCCCCTTTCACAAACAGATAGTTAAGTGATCTATAATGTAAAATTATTGACTATTTAAAAAGTTTTGATTATTACTGCAAAATCTTGAATGCAAATCTTAGATGTCTGAGCAATTCTTAGATTGCACGAACATGCTACAAAATCAGAAAGCGGACTCAATGCAAAATCTGTCATCACTCTGTTGTAACTGACTGATCATTTATCAATAGGAAATTAATCAACAGATTATGTAAGTTATGTAATTTAAAAAAATTAATTCCCACTGGTCTCATTGCTCGTCTGCATCAGTACACACTGTCAAAACAAACCCGTGTGTTGTCGTCCTTTATGTAAATCAGTGTACAATCTGTGTGCTGCAGGGTCGTGAGCAGTTAAAACAGTTTCCATGTAAAATTAATCAACATCCTTTCTGTAATTAAGCATCGGTGCAGCATCAGGGAGTTTTGTTCAGGACAGAGGAAGCCAAAAGGCCAGACGTTAGATGAATTATTCTTTTCATGTTTCGCATGCGAGGCAAACAGAAATATTACGGCTCTATTAATAGGACACCTCATGTTTGAAGTACATCCGTCCTCTGGCTATATGCTGTTCATATGGACTGGAGATATGGACACAACATCTTCTCCTCAGTATCCAGAGAATTGAAAGTGAGAGATGATAATTCAGCTAAATAAGGAACATCTGGATAAATAATAGATGCGTTCTGTTGAAAAAACGCTTAATTTGCAAAAGCAATAATAACATATGGAGATTGTCACCATTTTATGTGTGTTTTACAGTTTGAATTGAACTTGGAATTAATAAAATAGAAACTTCATTTTACTGCAATATTGCTTCAAAAATCCACAGCTACTTAATGAGGCTGCGGCCTGAAGTGTTTGTCTTTGCTGTGAATCAGAAATGTTTGTTTTAAAAGAAACTGAGCTGCTTGTTTGTTTAGAATCTGCCACGTCCAGAGACCTAGGTGTCGGCTCTTCCCTAGAAAAGAGAAGGTTCCTATTAGACCAGATGTGCTGGGTCCTCATTAGAGTCGCTGAAGCAGACAGGACCTGATTTCAGGAAGTGCCCCTCCTGTCAGCTGGCTGTCTGCCTGCTCACACACCGTCCTCTGTGGCCGTGAACTTGTTTGTGTGCATCTTGCATTCATGAATATGTGTGTGCACATACGGTACACGGACTACAGTGAAAGTTAATCAAACATTTTTATGTTGATTAACCATTAAGGCCTTTTCAAGCCTGAATATTAAACGTTAGCTAATTTCACTTTTTAATTAAAAATCGCTTTAATTTAAAGCGATTTTCTTTTCTCACGTGATCGTAAACTGAACATATTTAGGTGAACTAATGGAAAGTGGTAAAATACTAAAATTAAGGAATAAAGAAAAGAGATGAGAAACAGTTCAAACTCCGGCTTCTTCATGATGTATCTTTGATATTTTAGAGTGTCCAGGACAATTAATTTTCCTGTTTTAATATGTGAAGGCTTATCCTGATATAATCCTGATATAATTGTCAGGAGTCCACATACTTTTGGCCAGGCACTGTAGCAGCAATACGAGCTTAACTCCAGCTGTGGAGTCTGACGGATGTTGATTAAATGATTGATTGAGCTTGTCTGACCAGAGAGTGACAGTTATACTATTAAGATGCACATCTACTTAGTCAGAATGTGTGTGATTTATTAAACTGCTGCTTCACTTGTAGAAGATTCAAGGATTTTAGTCTGTAGACTGCAGCGTTTTTCACGGCCTCTGGCTTCTAATATCCCTCCAGTGCCATTTCCATTTCTTCCCGTTTTGTATTAAGTGTCAGAGACCTATGTGGATGAATCGATTTCATGACACAGCAGAGAAGAGTAGTTGGGGGATGAGGAGAGAGGAAGGAAGGTGCTGCTGAGAGAAAATGAACAAGAGGAGAGGAGAGCAGACCTGTAGAGATAAAGATTAATGGCAGTTTCTGCTCGTGTAACCTGTGTTTGGCAGCTGCACTGAAGTAATTTAGGATGTGGTGTGTAAACGTGTGTGTGTCGGCTGCGAAATGGACTAGAAGACAAACAAGCTGCTTCTCCTCCACCGGTGCTGTGCGTCTGATGAGGATTGATCATGTGTCGCTGCCTGTGACTGGCCGCTGCTCGGTTCCCTCATGCAGCTCCGTCTTAGCTGAAAACTGATGAATGAGGTTTTTTGTTTCTTTTCTTAAACACACTGACCCACTGATCCGGCTCTGGAATGAAGCATGTGACTCCTGTGACGTCTCAGCTGGACAACATTTACTTACCATTCCACCGGGATTAGGAGAATTACTGAATTTCATGATATCAGTGCTAGATATTCCAGGATTACTAAACCTAGCTTTAATGTCAAAGTTAATAACAAAATGTGTACAAAAAATGTATGTTTGGTGCATAACAAACACAGTAAGTGAAAAAATAAGGGGGAAAATAGGTAAATTCAAAAAGCAAAGACGAGAGATATAAAAACAAAAAAGGAGCCATTGAAAAATCAATATGATCCAATTTAAATATATGAAACTATACAAAATGAAAATATGTGCATACGTGCAATTTTTTGACAAATGGGTATATTCAAATATTGTGCATTACAGTAAAGGTTTTTGTACCTTATGAAATCAGTTGCACTCACTAAAGAGAAAATGTAGATAAAAAGAAACGAGTCAGAAACGTTTTGTTTCATAGACAAATAAAATGTGGGTTATGCAAAAAGGTCAACAAGCTTATACCAGGAAGTGTTCATGATGGTGTAAACATTTAGTGTGTTGGAAATCTTTGGTGCCTGCGATACGCTGGTGACCTGCAGGACCATGTCAGCTGGGATTGGCTCCAGCCCCCCCGTGACGCTCAAAGGATAAGCTGTATAGATAATGGATGGATGGAAACCTTTGGTATTTAGCTTTGCAGTGCCGCCCACTTACAGTCCTCTCCTGTGTGCTATGGGTTAAATATATGTTTTTATCTTAGGTAGAGGCGATGCTGCAAGGTGCCATGGTGATAAAAGTCATAGAGGCTGCAGGGACATGACAGATGTGTCAAACTGCAGAGCTAAATATGTTTTATGCATGTGGACACTGCACCTTTCTTCATTTCATTTACAGAAACGTCTCATTAAGGGGGAAGATTTCTGCACTATCATTATAAAAATGGCAATTTTAAGAAAAGAGAAGAGTTCATTTGAAATAGAAATCATTTTAACATTTGAATTCCTGTTTAAGAAGATATATTTTAGGTCTCAATAATTGAATACATCACTGGTTCTAAAACCAAACATTTATGGCTTTGACAATTCAGTGATCCCATCACCAGAGGCAACACTAATATGATGAAAGTGACATGCAGAGAAAACTGATTTTCAATTATTTTCTTCAACATAAAACTTATCCCATAGGACTTATGAGCAGGGTGGTGCAGTCATTTCCTACACAGGGACATAAAGAGCCTCCAGGAGCCGGTGCACATGAAGTCTGTGTTTCATAAAAGCTTTGAGCATCTGAGATTGAGTCAATCTTTGCAAAAACATCTTGATCACAGCTGGTAACTCCCAGAAACAGAAAATAAACGATCACCGTCTCTCATGTGGACTTTTGATGCAAAGAAAGACATTTCAGTTTTTCTCTTCCCGTTCATTTGTGTGCTCTTCAAATTAAAACTTTCTTTCCCATATTATCCACAAATATGTGCAGGAATATGTTCCTTTTAATTAACTAGACAAATTGTTATAGATTATTCTGAGTTAACACGTGACACGATGTGTGTATCTGTGTGTGTCTGTGTGTGTCTGTGTGTGTCTGTGTCATTGAGTTAATGGAGGGTCTTGGCCTGGGTAATGGAGCCCCTCCCTGCAGGCTGAGCGGATAATTGAATTAATGTCAGCCCTCTCTCCATCCCTCCTCCCTCCCTCGTGACTCATCTGTGTTTTGCGTCAGCTTTGCTCTTAGACACTTGTCCTCATCAACTGTGGCAGGTTTCGAGCGGAACCCTTGAGCAATTGGTCACACGTTCATCCATTGATTTTTATCTCTTGCTTTTCTCTCTGCACACAAATGTATGGTGCAGAAATTAGTCCGGCATTTAAGAGGCAGCAAGATTTCCTCCCACAACCTTTTGTTGGGTTGACTTTCTACTCATTCCTCAGACAGCACAGTCACTGTGCAGCTCAGTTGATTCATATTAGCCCAGATCGTTACTCTTCCTCCCACAGCAGCAGTGCTTTTGATGTTTATGGAGGGAAAGCCATTTGTGGAGTCACCGTAATGATCCATAACGGGATGGCTCCTCCTTATAATTCATAAAGGCGCCCGGGCGTCGGCTTGGCGAGGCTGTAGCCAGGCAGACATGGCGATGCTAAGTTTAGAGAGTATATCAGCAACACTTCCAGACCAGTGAGAGAAGTATTTATCTTTCATCTTTCTAATTGGTCCCAGTTTTATTTACGACTCTTCTTTATGTTGTTTTTCAGGTGGAATTGCAGGTGGTATAGAAATCTGCATCACCTTCCCAACAGAGTACGTCAAGACTCAGTTACAGTTGGATGAGAAGGCCAATCCACCTAAATATAAAGGAGTAGGTGAGTCAACCTACCTACCCACCTGCCTACCTGACTACCTACCTGACTATCTACCTGACTACCTACCTGACTA